CAGAATAAACTCCAGCTCCTTTGAGATGGAGTCCGATGAATTGATCCCTGTGACAGTTTTAGAAAAAACTCCGGTAAGATAAAAAAGATATTTTGTTTTTGTTTACTAGTCAACATTGTTTATGTACGGTGGTAGGCGATTATATCAATTAAATGAAGACGACGTTCGATTTAAATTTTGATTTTCATCAAGCCTTTAAACAGCATGGATGCACAAAAACATGGAGTCAAAGAACAGCTGTCAATTAAAAAGCATCTTTTTAAAGGGAGTGTTCGCGAAAAATGAAAGGGGGTATAGGCTTAATGCGATAAAAAACCGCTTTTGATCGCTACTAATCTTACTTATATCTGTTGCGTCTATAAGGAGAAAATTGTTAAAGACGTCTCATACCGAATAACTTAGCGGCCATACAATTAAGAAAATTGCAACATACTACTACTTAGACCGTATAAAATCAATTTAATTATAAACAAATCATTTAGATATTACAACCTATAGTCATCGATTATCTTTCGCCACATTTGTATATGTTTATATTTTATTATATTTTATTTTTTTAGAAAACGTTTTCAACGGATTTTGAAAATTGTGAGTGGTGTGCGGCATTCTTAGATAGTTGCGCAAGCTACAAGAGAAATAAACAAATCAATTAAAAATATTATAAAATATAAACTATATACAAATGTGGCGAAAGATAATCGATGACTATAGGTTGTGATATCTGAATGATTTCTTTGAAATTAAATTGATTTTTTACGGTCTAAGAAGTATGTTGCAATTTTCTGAATTTGTATGGCCGCTTAGTTATTCGGTATAAGACGTCTTTAACAATTTTCTTCTTATAGACGCAACAGATAGAATTAAGATTAGTGGCGATTCAAAGCGCTTTTTTATCGCATTAAGCCTATACCCCCTTTCATTTTTCGCGAACACTCCGTTTAATTGGTTGTAAACTTATAAGAAAAGGCTAACTATTAAAATTTGAATAAACAGCCGTCTTCATAATATTGATATAATCGCCTACCACCGTATATTAATATTCTATAGCATTGTGAGTCTGTAAACCGTCAAGAACGGGTTCTGACTTCTGAGGGATAAATGATTAGCGGAGCAAATTGTTATATAACGCTAATTGTTGATGTAAAGTCTAATGAAAATCATATATGATAGCGGTATGATTTTGTATTTCGACCATGTATGATTTCGTATTCCGATCATGTATGATGTCGTAATCCGACCATGTATGATTTCGTATTCCGACCATGTATGATGTCGTAATCCGACCATGTATGATTTCGTATTCCGACCATGTATGATTTCGTATTCCGACCATGAATGATTTCGTATTCCGACCATGTATGATTTCGTATTCCGACCATGTATGATTTCATATTCCGACCATGTATGATTTCGTATTCCGACCATGTATGATTTCGTATTCCAATCATGTATGATTTCATATTCCAATCATGTATGATTTCGTATTCCGACCATGTATGATTTCGTATTCCGACCATGTATGATTTCGTATTCCGACCATGAATGATTTCGTATTCCGACCATGTATAATTTCGTATTCCGACCAGTATGATTTCGTATTCCGACAAGTATGATTTCGTATTCCGACCATGTATGATTTTGTATTCCGACCAGCATGATTTCGTATTCCGACCATGTATGATTGAGTTTAAGTTGTATCATGAGTTCACAAAAGAGTTTTAGACAGCTCTTTTATGTAATCATAATACAAAACATATTTACAAATATACTGGAAGCATATTTTGCATTTTTCTTAAGAATTGCGTATTAAGGCCAAAATGGGGTAGTTTTAATACTAGTATAGCCTTGAAAAGGTATCTTGCAAAATTAAATTATTTTACGATGTAATTTTAAACTAATTATCCCAAGGGACCGATGTATCATCATTAATGCTTTCCTTGATTTCATTACATCTATGTATGTATCTATCTATCTTTCTATCTATCTATCTATCTATCTAACTATCTATCTATCTATCTAACTATCTATCTATCTATCTATCTATCTATCTATCTATCTATCTATCTATCTATCTAACTATCTATCTATCTATCTATCTATCTATCTATCTATCTATCTATCTATCTATCTATCTATCTATCTATCTATCTATCTATATATCTATCTATCTTTCTGGTGTTCGTTAGCTCTACTGTGTCGGAAATACCACCAATAGTTTCCTCGAAGCAGAACATTTCATCTGTACATTGGATCAATTATACACTAGCAACTAAACAGTTACTTACAATGGGATAAATATCAAAAACATTAATTAGATAGATATACTGACTTCTACACAACATTGAATCTTTCGTTTTTCTGAGAGATTGTCTTGTCACCCATTACCTGGCAATAAAGGATACTAAAAGTTTCAAATTTTCTTATGAAAAATTCAAAAGAATATTCTGGACCAGATTGTAAAAATAATGGGTATGGGTTAGATCCCACACAAAACTTGTAGACTTATCTCACAAAACATCCCTGAGGTTCCATTTGAACAATTGGGACCCATTCGGTTCAGCCGTTTTGACACTTATTGGATTAAATAAAAAAACGTATACATTGAATATTTAGAACCTTATCTTATTTAGCATTTTACTTGTATTGGTTGTCAATGAGGAATGATAAAAATTAAAAAAAGCTAAATCGATTAAACAACTTTAAAAAGAAGAAACCGTTACATCAATGTCGGAGAATAGCATAAAACATCAAAATGAAATATAAAACTTGAGAAATGATTAAATTTATGAAATTAAAGAATATTTAATTTTAATTTTCATGTAAAAAAAGATACTTTAATTGAGACAGGATAAATCCACCATTTTGAAAATTGGTTCAAATCTATTTATAAATTATAATTATACAATTATAAAAAATACTGCGCAGTAGTGTATATTTTATGATAAACAACTGGTTTCTCGCTGGCCCTGATAACAATTATTAAATGACGTTATATCTCAGCCAAACACACAGGGGGGACTTTTAGTCATTATATTATAATTTTATTAACGTAAAATCTAATCAACCCCATGAATATGTACCATTTTTCAAGAGATTTATTAGGGGGTTTGGTGTGAGGTATTTTTATAAATTACTTGTACTTTAAATAACCCCTGCCTGGTTAGGCCTAAAGGCAGTTCGGCAGGCTAGAATAAGGGCGTGGCCAGGCAAAAAAACCTGTCTCTTCTCCACTGTTTAGCGATAGAAAATACAAAAATTCGCGCAAACACTTTTTCCGCCATCTTTAATCATTATTGATCAGAAAACCTCTTAAAATGTTTATCTCTTTTAATATTTTTCTCTCTTAATTTTGAAGAGCAAAGGGCCTCTCATAGCTCTGCCTAAATGTTAAGAGATGATGCGTAATATATGAACTCTTCATGGCATTATGAACGGTCCCGGTTACCATAGGAAAGCCTGAAATCCCCAGCAGTTGAATCCAAACAGAGCAACAAGTGTCCGATAGAGTTCCAATTATCCGCTACCATCGATAAGAGGGGGGGATTGGGAAGGAGGGGGAGATTGAGGTACATAGACGGAGGTACATGTACACATAGAAGGTGGTACAAGTACACATAGGAGGGGGTACAGGAGGTACAGAAACGCATAGACGGGGAACAGATATACATCTAAGGATTAAAGAGTTACAGGTATACATAGAAGGGGTCACCCTCAACAAATCTTTTGGTGTGTACTGCAGTAATTTGCAGTACACTGACCGAAGAAATTAGTGGGGTTTGGTGAAGAGTAGGGTGCAGGTACATATAGAAGGGGTGCAGGTACACAAAGAAGGGGTACAGGTACACATAGAAGGGGTGCAGGTACACATAGAAGGGTTCTCATCTTTGCATAAAAGTCCCTGAGTTTGCAAATACTTAAACCAATACCAAGAACTTGGTACAGGGTGTGAAAAAGAAAAGTACAGAGTTCATAGAAATGTTTTCAACGAATGCCCTCCCAAAGTTCAAAGAAGATTGAAGACTAATCAGAAAACAACTGAATCCATGTTCTAAGAAGTTTGAAAAGATTAGTGAAAGTTTGTACTTTTAGCATCTATAAATTTATCAAGAAAATTAGAATTATGAATTTTATTTTTCTTGATTTATTTTCAAGATTAGAATACCATGTTAAATAGGTTTAGAGGCCATATCTAAATTATCACAAAATATTTTTTATGGAGCGGTAACCGAGGAAATCATATCCAAAAAACTCGGACAATAAGAGATCAATTACGTACGATTTTGCTTTATTTTTATTTGCAAAAGTAATATAGATAGAACTAGAAGCTTTAGTATCTATAATTTGCCTGCCTGCCTGTCTTTTTTTTTTGTCTGTTTGGTTCCAATAAACAACTGAACCGATTTGGCCCAAATTTTCTGTGGGACCTCATGCATGACCCCAGGGAAGGTTTATCAGAATTACAAAAAGTTGTACCCAAAAGCTTTCGATTTTTGTAAAAGTTTAAAAGTGCGCGAGAAAATATTTGAAAATCCGCGAAATTTTTTTTGTTATTGTTTTATACTGTACAAAAAGAAGATGGTCACAGATACGCCACAATTAAAAGTTAAAATATAGGATGGGCGGAAGTGCCTTTAAAGTCAAGTATATAATTTATGTTTGTATAACAGCTAGTACAAGTATATACTTGAATTCAGAACATACACACATGTAGGATGTACCGCTCGTTTTTCCACTTAATTTTGTGCACTGTCAGATTTGTTTTCATTTAAAGTCATGAACTGTAAAGAGCTGAACAATGAATTTGTCCCAAGCTAAGTAACGAATAATGAAGAGTTATTTATCAGCAATTCTTCTGGAAAACTAACAAGTTACTAAATAAACAAAAAATTTGAAACCCACAACATTTTTTGTATGAAATCCGCGAATTTTTTTGTTTTACAATGATACAAAGAGAACATGTTTACTATTGAAATAGAGGATGGGCGCAAAGCGCTCTAAAAGCCTAGTATAATATATATAAATATATATATATAATATGTAAACTATATCTAGCTGTTATCTATCCTTGACGTGTATGCTTGTTATCTACTCTAGTATCACCTCAACTAGAAGTTTTATATTTATAACTTCTAGTTAAAAACATGCACTCGTCTAGTATATACTCATTCCCGTACACTCGTCCTTGCCAACACCCACATACTCGTCCTTTCAGTCAAAAGTTAGCTTGTCAATTCCAACAAGACAAGAACTATGCTTTTTATTCTAACAATTATTTGAATAATCGTCTAGTTTCCTCGGACTATCCAGTGCAATATCGTCCGGAGCACTTCAGTTCTCCAACTCGTCCCTGTAGTTTAAGCCTGTACTATGATAAAAGACGATGTGGTGGGAACTATATAAAGTATGCTGACTATAGAAACCCAGTTCAGCAGAATGTTGAAGTTTTCACGGTAGGAATCCTCATATATGGTGTCACAAAAATAAAACAAAAAGCTCGGTTCGTTTCCATGAAAATTTTAAAATATTAATGGTATTATTATACCATTAATATTTTAAATTTTTTTAAAAAATGTATGTCTGATGGGTGCTTTAATTAAAATAAAAGTTTAAACTTTGTATTTAGAAACACCTTNTCAAAAACAAGAATTTCAGATATCACATAAATTTTATGGCACAATTCAACAATGATAACTGCAAACTAGCCAAAAGAAGAAGTTAGTAGTACGGCTTTGTGTCATCGTAGCTTCTCTCGTTTTGTATTTACACACAAGTATGAGAAAGGCAAATCCATACGGTTACATCTTATACATTTAAAACAATTTTGTTCTTTTCGATAGGTCTTCAATAATTGTATGATTATATATATATTATATTATATTATATATATATATATATCCATAGACACAGTGTTTCGTCCTATTAGGACTCATCAGTATGGCTCTAATCATCAGATTTTGATTTTGCAGTTGACTGGGCTTGAACCATAAATTTTTAGATTATGAATCAAACACGCTAACCACTGCTCCACCAAACCCTGATGATTTGGTAATGAAATAGGGACCAGAGAGCTCAACCAACTCATTATTATATATCTATATATCTAGATGATGCAGCTGGTTCCGAATTCTTCTCCTCTTTCTTCTCTAGACTCTGACTTAGATTTTGATCTTGATCTACTAGACTGCCAGGTAGGCAAATGTCGTCTTCTATCTTTACATTATGATTGGCAAGTGAATGTCGTCATCTAACCAGGAAAAGGATAAAACCAAAAACCAAAAACAACAAATATTTGTTAATGCTATAAAAATATAAATGGTTTATTCTTTAAGGTTCCAAGCCCCTGTCCGCCTTCTCCACTCAGTATCCTTTCCCCAACCATGTTTTCCCCTGAGGGAAAGGACCACTACGCACTTTCCCCACAGGGAAACTACACTTGTTCCCCCTCCCCTCGAAGATATCCCTCCCCCTCCCCCTCCTCGATGTCGGGCCCCTACTCCCCAGCAGGCAGACAAAGAAGAATATCTTCTACGCTACTGGTTCGTATACATTTATTATTTATTCATTTAATTTATTTATTCATTTCATTAATTTATTTATTTATTTTATTTATTCATTTAATTTATTTATTCATTTCATTTATTTATTACTTTAATTCTATTCTTCATTTAATTTTATTCTTTGATTCATTTTTTTTATCTATTCATCCTAATAATTTAAATATTCTTATCTATTCCTTTTCATTTTTTCATTCTTTGAATATTCATTTTTAAAATTTTTTTATGCATCTCTATTTCAGTATATCACATTATTTTTACATCTAATAAGATTAGTAAAATTTACTTCCTGTTTGTCTATCTGGATGTTTGGGTGTCTGTCTGTTTGTTTTTCCGTTCATAACTCGGGAACCCCGGGACTGATTTGCCTCAAATTTTGATTGGGGAACTCGGGAGACTCACGGGAATATTCTTAGCTTGGTTTAAGATTCTAATAGCGAAAATTTAGTTTCCTGGTAAAATCGTTCAAGTGCGGGTAAACGGCGAGAGTAGCTATAAGAAGCCTGGGCAGCGCTTGGTTCCCAAGCTAATTGTTGATAACAAGAAAAATTTCAAACTGAGTTATTTTTTTGTGATATTTATATGCTTGTGAATTTAGGAGGCTGAGGAGCTTGGGGATATAAACATGCAGGATTCTCTACTTGAATTTAGAGAACTCCAAGACAAGATCAAGAAAGAACAAGAGAACCTTCTAGATTCAAGGTTCGACACTTTCTCCACTACAGATTTCTCAAATCCTTTCTCAGCACCTTCTCAAACCGTGGAGTTCGGGGCTCCCATCAAATTGGAACCGTTTGAATGTCTAAGAAAAGATGATTCAGGAACGAACACAGATCTAGTTAGTTCTCATCCAGTACTGAAACAGTACTTGGAGGACATGTCCTTCCAGTCCAGGTTCAACCTCACCACACAACCTTTTCAGTTTGTTCCGGAGACACGAGTTATAGATTCAGGAGGTAAAACCAAGATGGCGGCTTCTGAAGCGCAGCTGACAATACCGCGTCAGATTAATTCACCCCGAAGTTCGATTGCGGAAGATTCCGGCCGGGTTGAGACTGAACTTATGGATGATGTGAAACCGGTTCTGGAAATCACCGAACATCAAGTCAAACCGGTTTTAGAACTAGCAGTTGAGCAGGTCAAGATGGATATTGAGACGACATGCGAGATTCTTGGAATCACTAAAGGTAAGAGAAAAGTATCAATTATAATTGTTAACTAGAAAAAAACGTCTATATATATTTTCATGGGAAAATGCCAATTACGATCAAATTCCTTATAACTTATTAATTTAATATTCTTGTTTTGGTGTTGAATATTGATCAATTAAGCTCTCGTTCTCTGCCCCCATTCCTCCCCTCCTCCTTCTCCTCCTTACCATGCCTGGTTCTCTTTAATCTTCTCTTTCGTTTTACTCTTCCACGCATCATTTCAGTTTTTAACCTCACGCTAGTCGGACCTTTCTCCTCTTTCTCAACTTCATTTTATCGAGGACTTTACCCTTGATTCTTAGTACCTATAGAGAAGTATGTAATATAATCTATACCCAAGTACAATAGTACATTTACCTAACAGAATTCTTGGATTGAAAAAAACCCAGAATTAGTCAATATGAATCTACAGAAATACTGGAATTTAGATATTCCCATAAATATATTAATATCAAGATTAATGTAAACTAGCTAAAGCACCCGGCGTTGACCGTGGAATTAAAAAAACACGTGTAGAAAAAAAATTCGAATAGATTTTTTTTAAATCCGTATTTAGAAAACAATAATTTCGATTATTTTAGCCTTTCTTACCCATGGGTTTTCTCCGATGCCCACTTTTCATGACTAAATATCAAATAAGCTTGTTTTAGACCCTGGAAGTTGGTCTGCAGCTAGTGTAAAGAGCTGGTTGCTCTGGACCCTACAACAGTTCTGTATTCCTCTATCAACAGTAGATATGGAGAACTGGAACCTGGACGGAAACCAGATGATAAATATGAACCAGTCCGAGTTCAAGGCTAGAATACCGCAGGTATAATAATACTTAACTTTAAATTAAAGGAATTGAGCCTTTGCCACAAACTCTGTTTTCTCATCCTTAATATCTTTTCAATCCAATGGCGTAAGCCTTAAATATGAATTCTGTTAGATAAATATTAATTAAAGATAGATAACTAGGGACATGTATCAATCTCAACTCCAAGGGCAAAATGCTTTCTAGTTGAAAAAATATAGGGATTAGAAAATCAGAGTTTGTGGCAAAGACTAAATTCCTTTCAAGTTCTATTAAAAAATCGGAGGATTCTAATTGTAACTTCTCTTTTTGAACAGCTATTAAGAAAATAAAAAAAGTTTTGAATTTCTATTCTTGAAAACAAGTCGATTTTCCGGTTCAATTTAAGTTTGAAACGCTACGAAATCACAATGTCGCCCCGGTAAGTTCGCATGATTTACAAATACAAATGTTTACAAAATGCTTCTTTTAAATCATTCAAACATCTTTTAACATGTATTACGCTAATTATACAAGACAATACAATAAGTTTCAATTTTAGTTTTACATAAACCAACTATTGAATTTACATCTTTAATCACATGTTAATTTATAAAAATGTTGACAACATTTTTCAATTAAATCCTAAAACAAAATTAAATACGCAACTTCAAAGATTTATCATTTTCAGGGAGGTGAAACAGTTTACGCTCAGTTTGATCTATGGAGGTCGAACTGGTATGCTAGTATGGATATGGATGTCCAGGGAGGTCTGGAGGGGGGTCTACAGGGAGGTCTAGAAGAGAGCTATGGACCTCCTCCTCCATACCCAGAATATTCACAGTTTTCTGACGTTAACTACCTTTTTCAGGTAAATACATTTCTATTTATATTTAGTTATTTGAACATTGAATAAATATTTCTTTTTGCAATTTTACGTGTTTTCGTGAGTAGTTTTCACTTATTTCTTTTTTGCTTGAGGTTTGACTGAGTTTAAGTTTTTAACCCAGATCAAAGAAAAGGATTATTTTTTTGAATTTATCCCGAAAACATTATTTACCAAAATGAAATTCTGATATCATTTTTATATAAATTTATATAATCAAAATGGACGAAGACGACATTTAATTTTTCTAGTGTATGGATAATGAGCCTCCTCCCTCACCTTGCTCAGCGGTATCTCCTCCTTATACCCTAGATATTTCCCCTTCCTCTCCTTATACTTTCTCCTCACAGCCCTACTCATCCTCCACCACCTCCTTCACCTCATCCACCACCTCCTTCTCAACATCCACCAGCACCTTCTCCTCCTCCAGCACCGCCTTCTCCTCCCCTGCCACCTCCTACCCTTCCTTCTCCTCCCCTCCTCCCTACCCAGGAACACCTACCTTTCCGCTTACTGAGGAGGACGAAGGTAAATAGGCATTTATCTACCTATCGTGCTATCAACCCACCTGCCTACTTGACAACTTAACAACTTAACAACCAGCATATTTATCTACCTATAGTGCTATCAACCCACCTGCCTACTTGACAACTTAACAACCAACATATTTGTAAACTATATCTAGCTGTTATCTATCCTTGACGTGTATGCTTGTTATCTACTCTAGTATCACCTCAACTAGAAGTTTTATATTTATAACTTCTAGTTAAAAACATGCACTCGTCTAGTATATACTCATTCCCGTACACTCGTCCTTGCCAACACCCACATACTCGTCCTTTCAGTCAAAAGTTAGCTTGTCAATTCCAACAAGACAAGAACTATGCTTTTTATTCTAACAATTATTTGAATAATCGTCTAGTTTCCTCGGACTATCCAGTGCAATATCGTCCGGAGCACTTCAGTTCTCCAACTCGTCCCTGTAGTTTAAGCCTGTACTATGATAAAAGACGATGTGGTGGGAACTATATAAAGTATGCTGACTATAGAAACCCAGTTCAGCAGAATGTTGAAGTTTTCACGGTAGGAATCCTCATATATGGTGTCACAAAAATAAAACAAAAAGCTCGGTTCGTTTCCATGAAAATTTTAAAATATTAATGGTATTATTATACCATTAATATTTTAAATTTTTTTAAAAAATGTATGTCTGATGGGTGCTTTAATTAAAATAAAAGTTTAAACTTTGTATTTAGAAACACCTTTTAACCTTTTATACAACTTGAATTTTATACTGTAAGAGCATAAAGTTACTAATTGTGCAACTAAACACTGTGAGGCCCTTGCTAGGTTACAGTGTAATCATTACATTTAAAAGCTGACTGGAAAAATGTTGATTTACGGTTTACCAATGACGTCATATTTTTCATGCTTAATACACAGATGCTCATAATTTTTTCTTTCAATTCCACAAGATTACAGCTACAAGTAAGCGTGACATTATGAAAATAATTGAATATATATCGTACAGACGTTTCAGAAGTATATATCGTGTGTGGGTGACTACCTATAGTTTACTTATTAATGGTTACTTATGAGTGACCCTACGTATAAGTAATTGTGTTAAATAAGAATTAGTGGATTCGTTAAAAATCTGAATTTCTTGAGTTTGAATTTAACGTTGTCCGTTTACGTCATCGATAAAACTGTCGAATGTTTAGAGCTAAGCCAAGTGACGTCAAGGTTTCTACATAGTTCGATACAGATCAAATTTCAGTTATTGATGATACTGCATAGTACTTTAGTTTGTCTTGTTGCTTGATATAGTTCATTTATTTATGCATATCATTTGGTTCATTTAGTTAAATAAGTTCATTTAGTTCATTCATTTAATTCATTTAGTTCATTCAGTTCATTTAGTTAATTTAGTTAATTTAGTTAATTTAGTTAATTTAATTCATTTAATTCATTAATTTCATTTAATTCATTTAATTCAAATAGTTAATTTGTTACAGTTAGTTCATATAATTTATTCACCCAATTTAGTTCAATTATAGTTCATTTACTTTAAGCAGTTCATTTATGAAGTTCATTTAGTTTATTAAGGTCATTTAATTCACTCAATTCATTTAATTAATTTAATTCACTTAATTCATTTAAATCATTGAATTTATTCAAATCAATTTATCAGACGGACCCTCTTAAAAATGAAACAAGAGAGAAGAAAGCTCAAAAGAAAATTTTTCGAGGGAAAAGGGAAAACTTGCAGAGACAAAACTAGAAGGGTATTATTGATTCATTTAATGCAAAATCTCTGGCTTATCTTAAAATATGAAAACTGAATTCCTAGAAATTCGTTCTTATCAAGCTTGTCTGCATCGTTCAAACAAATCAAAATAGAAAACTCATGTTCTGATATCATGGAAATAAATATGTACTTTAACTTTTTTGTTTGATGTCTTTTTATCAATTTAATGTTGGGACTTAAACCTGTCACAGAAGCGTAACATTCATTTTTGCTCCTGCACTCACTTTTTATCAATTACATTTAGACAAAAAACGAAATGCGAAAATAAAAAATGACTAAACCGTTAAATACATATAAAGATATAGAACATTTTAGATACGATTTATACTTCTTAGACAGTAGAAGACGTTCTAATGATCCTTTTATTCGGAAGTTTTTCTAAAATTAGCAAAGATTTTAGATATAACAAAAAACTGCACAATATAATATAAATTCACTATACATCAGAAATACGTCAAATATCGTACCATTAAAATTTTTGAGATTTAAACAAAAATGAAACCTTTAAAGAACTGTCGATATATTTTCGATATTTATAATAAATAGGACGTTGTACTGCCAATCCTCAGTCCTAAAGTGAATGTACTAAATCCGGACTATAGAATCAGTTTTTAATACAAAATCAAGAATATCTTAAAATGTTCATATCGCGGGATGAAGTTTATTTTGCGTATACAATCCTTAGAGGTTGTTGTTTAGAATATTTGGTGGTTTTAGATAAAACTATACCATCTTTATATCCATAATTATATATTTATATACGGATCTGAGAGTGTTAGATTTAGAAGAATTGTACCTACCTACCTACCTACCTACCTACCTACCTACCTACCTACATACATACCTACCTACCTACCTACCTACCTACCAACATCACTATATATCTACCTATTAATCTAGATACAGATGAGGATGCTGAGAAGGGATCTCCGTGTACCGGAAGATCTCCAACAAACATTCATCTCTGGCAATTCGTTAAGGTAAACAATTCCAAAAAAATTGTATACACTTAAACAATTCAAAACAATTTGTGTACACTTAAACAATTCCAAATAATTTGTATACACTTAAACAATTCCAAACAATTTCTTATATTAAACATTTCCAAACAATTCGTACACTTAAACATTTCCAAACAATTTGTACACTTAAATATCATCATTTTATTATTATTATTATTATTTCTAGGAGTCAGGGTGTATTTAAGATTGTAGATAGTGTGAAGGTTGCAACACTTTGGGGGAAAAGAAAGGTAGGTTTCGCCTGAAATATAATTCAGAATATAAATAAACGTGTTTTTGTGTTGTTTCATACATGGTTTCCCACGAAACATGCCAGTTGGTAAATAGTTTTGAATGTCGTCTTTCGTACACTATATTACATATTAATGGCTGTTTGCAGGTTATTTCGTTTAAACAATCTTTTACTCAAGTATATTTTACTTTGAAATTTAATACAATATATAATATTTTTATTGTTGTCTTTGGTATTAAACAATTAAACAAATTATGGAAGAATACATTCTAAACTATTTACCAACTGTCATGTTTCGTGGGACACCCTGTACCCATCCAATGAATATATTTGATTAGTCAAAGGAATTGAGTTTTTGTCACAAAATCTGATTTTATAACCCTTATGTCTTTGCGACCTGATGTCGTAGATCTTAGATATTTCAAACTATGAGTTCTGTTATATCACATAGTCGTAGTTTGAAAAATCAAAGGTTTACACCATCGGTTTGCAGAGCTTTAGGGATTAGAACATTTAAATTTGTGGCTAAAACTCAACTCCTTATCTTAAACATGTTTATTAATAAAGTTATTTGAGCCTAAATTGTATCCGTTCAATTTGCTTTAAATAAAAAAATTTAATTTAAATTGTTTACAAGATAAATGTTGTAATTCACATTTTAAATTTATTTTGCCTTTTGATCTTTGCGACATTAAATTAAAATCAAAGACGATGTTCAGACAAGAATAGACCATTTACCATCGTATATTCTAGAACCGGCCAGCTATGAACTACGACAAGTTGTCCCGCTCCCTCCGGCAGTACTACAAGAAGGGGATCATGAAGAAAACTGAGAGATCTCAACGCCTTGTTTATCAGTTCTGTCATCCGTACCACGTCTAGTTCTCTCCCCTCCGTGACTCCCCCTTCATCCATACCAAGTCTAGCCTGCCCGCACCTGCATCTTAATACTCAGAACATTTTACTCACTAACTCACAATCTTTCTTTGAGCTGAGGCCTGTCCTTAATATCTTAATTCTAAACCTACACAGGTCGAATTTATCCCTTTATTCGTCATTAGAATGTAAATCCTCGACAGGTTTAGACCTATCAGTGTAGGTTTCTTACAACTGTTTGTCGGAGTTTAACCGGCATCCTTCTCCCCTTTCTCTGAAAGGACGAGAAGCGTGCTGTTGTTTTCTTTCTGTGCTTGAGGTAAGTCAAGCACAGAACCTTGTTCAGTATTTTTAACTCTATATTCAAAATATGTAACTCATTGTAACTTTGGAGGTAATTCCGTAATCATTAATTATGCTTTTATAAGATGTTCGTTGATAGATTTATATATTTTATTGTAATATTGTTTATGCCTCATTCTTCGTCGTACTCTTCGACGCTCGGCTTTATTGTTTGCTGGGCGCAGCGCGCACACGCCCCGTAACTTTACAAGTCTGATGCTCAGATTGCGTCGGTGGATTTGGATTTTTTTTCATGCCTAAATATCAGTGATATTTTATCGTATGCTACATTAGCAGCACATTGTTTTAGTTCTAAGGTTCTACATGTTATCTGGCAAACTTCGCTATTTTTAAAGGGTCCTTTGTATGAAAATTAAAATATTTCAAATCAATGTTTAGAAATGGCGACTTTCAGACAATTCCCTCTTTTTGGCAAAATAGCGTGAAAATATTTGCCAAGGCCCGGGTGAATAAATAAAAATAAGCCAACGGTAGGAGGGGAAGGTCTAAGATCAAATTGAAATTATATTATTTAGAATTTGTAAGTTTGCCTTTCTTAAAAAAGTGTGGTTATTAGTATACCAATTGTATACATTTGTTTAAGTGAAAAATTAGGTAAAATAAGTTCGACAATTGATTTTAATGGCCATTATCAAATCGAACCTTGAACTTGTTTTACTCAAGAATTATTATTATTGTTATTGATATACTTTTGACCTAACTCCCGATGTACTTTGTGACTTCAATCTGGTGAAAGAGGACATTATAAATTGTGTCCAAGTCCAAAAAATAAAGATATTTAAAAAAAAATATTATTTTGTTTAATCTGTTTAAAATTCTAATGATAGAAATATATATAATATAAATGTTTACCTTTTATTTTGATATTTCTAGAATGTTCTAAAGTGAAATTATGCATTAAGTCATGTTGATATTGATATTGCCAAAGTTAAGAATTAGATGCTGTAATATAAAGTACCATGCATGATTTAAGCGTTCCCAGGCATTTGCCCTTGGTTTGGTGCCAATATCAACATAAATCTTTTTTTTGTAGCAACATGGAAACATAAAAGTTGCAAACATAAAAACTCTTAGTTTCTAGTTTATGAAGGAGTATTGGGCAAAATATTGATTTTTAAAGTTGAGTAGTGAGAAATAAATAGAGATGGATGTTAAACCTGTTCGAATACAGCCGAGGATAGAAATGTATCTTGAAATAAACTAGCAGATGGGTGTTAAACCTGTTCGAATACAGCCGAGGATAGAAAGGTATCTTGAAATAAACTAGCAGATGGATGATAAACCTGTTCGAATACAGCTGAGGATAGAAAGGTATCCTGATATAAACTAGCAGATGGATGTTAAACCTGTTCGAATACAGCTGAGGATAGAAAGGTATCTTGGAATAAACTAGCAGATGAATGTTAAACCTGTTCGAATACAGTCGAGGATAGAAAGGTATCTTGAAATAAACTAGCAGATGGATGTTAAACCTGTTCGAATACAGTCGAGGATAGAAATGTATCTTGAAATAAACTAGCAGATGGGTGTTAAACCTGTTCGAATACAGCCGAGGATAGAAAGGTATCTTGAAATAAACTAGCAGATGGATGATAAACCTGTTCGAATACAGCTGAGGATAGAAAGGTATCTTGATATAAACTAGCAGACGGATGTTAAACCTGTTCGAATACAGTCGAGGATAGAAATGTATCTTGGAATAAACTAGCAGATGGATGTTAAACCTGTTCGAATACAGTCGAGGATACAAAGGTATCTTGAAATAGACTAGCAGATGGATGTTAAACCTGTTCGAATACAGCCGAGGATAGAAAGCTATCTTGAAATTTCATTCCAAATTACTGAAGACAATTTGCACGGATATATAGAACTGAAAGGGACTGCAAGCGTAATTTCAAATGGGGTTTCATTTAAAAAGGGGACCTGAAATTACGCTTATAGTCCCTTTAAATGCATGAGTAGATTCAGAAAAAAAAATGTCTACTCTTAAACATCTGAAATTAAGATGTATACAATTTAATTCAGGCTTTAATATTATTGTAAACCTTATTTTATTAGTTTTAAGTTTTATGCATTTTATTACTGTGTACATCTGTTCCAGTAATAAAATTTGCAAATTATCAAAATGTGAATGATCTTTCTTGAATTAATTTTTGAAAATAATTAATCAAGTATTCTAAGTGGAACCTATTGTGATTGAAGGATTGAACCATGCAATGAATTTAGGACTAGAGTTTTTGAAACAACGTGAAGTGAATTTTGCAATGTGCAAAGCAGGAAGCTAAGGTTGACAGGGAAAGGAAGCCTATAAGGTTAAACAGGTTATGTGGTGTGATAGGTTCCCCCTTTCCATTTATTCAGAAAGGAAAGAGAATGTATAAAAAGGAGAAAAAGATAATTAGAGAAACTAGTAGTGTTAATCACATACCGAAAGTAACAGAGAGGAGAATATGGAGAGGGGAAAAAATATCAAGGGAATTGGAAAGGAGAAGGTTTTGTGGAATCTATGCTTCTACATGTCAGGCGAGGTACAAGCTACCTATGTGGAACACCACACGGAGATGAGATAGAAGTATGAACATGACAGAGACTAGGAAAAATCCACAGCTTATAAATCGTTAAGGAGGCCTGGATTAAAGAAAGTTAAGAGAAAGCAATAAACCGCGGAAGCGAAAGAAGATGGTGAAGCCACGTTATTTAAAAATGGTATTTGATCACTGAATCATATTATCCTACAGAAGAAAGTAAGAAGACATTTATTCGTGAAAGCTTCAAGATAGATAAAAGCAATATATTAAACAGAGATGAATAGTTGAAAGAAGAAGTGATCAAAATGTTTTAGACAATTTTTCGGCTCTGGCGTTACATAACAATAATTGCAGGAAAACAGATCTATCACAGTTAAAAATGGAACTGGAACCAGGAACTATTCCCAAGAGACCCCAAATGAGACCTTTAAACCCAGATCAGAAAAGAAGCTTGAAAATGTAGATAGACGAGTGGAGAGCAGGAATCATTGAACCAGCTAATAGATTGTTGAGATCACTTTTCTCAACTAACTTATGACTATTTACTAAATAACTATTCTCTGTTAGGATGGATATCAGATGGAAGAATGGACTTAATTAATTAATAATTAATTATAGTTTAATTACATGAGACCTTTTAATTTTGAATGATTGTGTCTAGTACCATCATTCAAATTGTAAAAAAATGTTATCAAATAATCTTATTTATTTCAATTATTACTAATACGTAAATTTTTAACTATTCTCAGATTTTTCATTTTAGCAAATCTTAAATTTTTAGATCAAAAATCAACAGTTTAACAAAACACATTTCTCTAGACATGAATTTTTACTAAACAATGATGAATCATAAGATATATTTATTAAGTTGTTTTATTCATCTTCATTTCCTTCCTTCTCTGCTGATATTTCTTCCTGTTGTTCAAATTCTTCTCCTGAAAATCAAAATTGGCACAAAAATTTAACAATTAAATAAAAATTGGCGAAACTTGAAATTTGCGAAAATGTTGAAAACTTTTGACAATTTTTTTTAGCAAGTTTCCAAGGTTTTCTGACCTCAATTTTGCAAAATTGTTCCATAAATATTAAACATTTTTTCTTTCGTAAAACTGAAAAGACATTTTTCTGACCAACAGTTCTTTAGGAAAGGAAATTGTCATTAAAAGTATGCAAAATTTTAAACAAAAATGAATTTAACTTTAGTCTAAACTGAATTTTCCTGAAAAGGAAATAATTCAAATATTTGGAATATATACCTCTCACTTACTTTATAAGCATTTTTGTCATAAATTCCCTAACAAATTTTTTCATAATTTTTAAGAAACAAAAAGATTTAGAATTAGATTTAATCAAAATTAGTTGTTTGTTGAGGTTCTTAATACCTGTTTTCTTTTCCTCTGATATGTTCGGCATTGATGATATTTCAGGGGTCTACAAATAACAACATTAATGCCAACTACATCTAGTGTTGGTTTATTGAACTAAAAGCAAATTTATGTCAACCTTCACTTGTCTGATAGACTCTGAAACATCATCTGAGGATCCAAAATTATTAATCTTCTTTATCCCAGTATCAGGATGCCCATTTACCTAAACAATGGAGTTGTAAGAAGCTGAAATAAGAAAAAAAAACTAAAAATTTGATTTACAAGCAAAGTATATACATAATTAAGGGTGAAACAGACAGTCGCGTGCATTCAACGATAAACTGTCAACATTTTTATCGAAAGACGAAAAAAATGTTAGTGTAGGATCTTGTTGTCCAAATGTTTAGCGTAGGTTCATGGCGTCCAAATGTTTAGTGTAGGTTCAGGGTGTCCAAATGTTTAGTGTAGGTTCAGGGTGTCCAAATGTTTAGTGTAGGTTCAGGGTGTCCAAATGTTTAGTGTAGGTTCTTGGTGTCCAAATGTTTAGTGTAGTTTCAGGGTCTCTAAATGTTTAGTGTAGGTTCAGGGTGTCCAAATGTTTAGTGTAGGTTCAGGGTGTCCAAATGTTTAGTGTAGGTTCAGGGTGGCTAAAGGTTTGGTTTAGGTTCATTGTGTCCAAATGAAAATGGAATATGAAAGACGACTTCTAATTGGGTTTGATTCCCTTCACAGTTTTCTGTAAATATCATTAATGTAGTAATAAACTTTAAAAACAAAATACCAAAAAGTCTTTCAAAAATGTAGCTCTTACAATGGGAGAAATAATAAATTGTCCAGATTTCTTGAATAAACGAATTGAGTTTTTGCCACAAACTTAAATTGTATAATCCAGCTATATCTTTGCAACCAGATGGCGTGAACCTTTGATATTTCAAACTGAGTTTATTTCATCTAGAATAATTCATGGTTTAAAACATCAAAGGTCTACAACATCTGGTAGCATACATTAAAGAGGTACAAAATCAGAGTTTGTGGCAAAACCTCAGTTCCGATGATATTCTCTAATTACCCAATAAAACAAAACTTTGGAAAGCTTATTATTCATGCAACCTTTTTTTGATACATAATATTAGTGTCAATATAAACTATCTGAATGTAAAACAATATATAAGCCGCTTTGAATTCGAATGTTTATTGGGACACCCAGCATATTCTAATTATTTACTTAATACAAATATAAGTAAGTGTTGATGTAAACAAGTTTGGACAACTTCATAATTAGATCGTTATTAATAAGTAGGCTAATAAAACTACTGATATAACTTTGTGTAGCCTGGTTATTACAATAAATGTAAATGATGGAAGGCACGGAATACAGGTTGTGGGGAAAGTATAATGAAAACAAAAATGTTTAAGAGGAAAAGCATAATTAAATGTGTTTGTTAGGATTAAATACCAGGACTTTCGCTATAGTTTAGTGATCAAATAAAAAGTTAAAAGATCAATGAGATAGCTAGTAGATGAATCTAATAGCTGGGTTATGGATCTAATAGCTGAAATAGGTATCTAATATCTAGATTAGGGATCTAATACTTAGAAGATGGATCTATAAATGGCTAGGTTATGGATCTAATAGCAATGAGATGGATCTAATAGCTAGGAGATGGATCTAATAGCAAGGAGATTGATCTATACAGCTAGGAGATGGATCTAATAGCTAGGATATGGATCAAAAAGCTAGGAGATGGATCTAATACCTAAGAGATGAATCTAATAGCTAGGATATGGATTTAATAGCTAGGAGAGGGATCTAATAACTAGGATATGGATCTAATAGCTAGGAGAGGGATCTAATAGCTAGGCGAGAGATCTAATAGCTAGGATATGAATCTAATAGCCAGGAAATGGATCTAATAGCTAGGATATGGATCTAATAGCCGGGAGAGGGATCTAATAGCTAGAATATGGGTCAAACAGCAAGGAGAGGGATCTAATAGCTAAGATATGGATCTTATAGCTAGGAGATGGATCTAATAGCTAGGAGATGGATCTAAAAGCTATGATATAGATCTAATAGCTAGGATATGGATCTAATAGCTAGGAGATGGATATAATAGCTAGCAGATAGATCTAATAGCTATGAGATGAATATAATAGCTAGGAGAGGGATCTAGAAATTAGGAGATGGATCTAATAGCTAGGAGATGGATCTTATAGCTAGGAGATGAATCTAATAGCTAGGAGATGGATCTAACAGCTAGGAGTGGGATCTAATAGCTAGGAGATGGATCTATATAGCTAGGAGATGGATCTAATAGCTAGGAGATGGATCTAATAGATAGGAGATGGATCTTATAGCTAGGAGATGAATCTAATAGCTAGGAGAGGGATATAATAGCTAGGAGTGGGATCTAATAGCAAGGAGATTGATCTATATAGCTAGGAGAATGGATCTAATAGCTAGGATATTGATCTAATAGCTAGGAGAGGGATCTAATAGCAAGGAGACGGATCTAATAGCTAAGATATGAATCTAATAGCTAGGATATAGATCTAATAGCCAGGAGAGGGATTTAATAGCTAGAATATGTGTCTAACAGATAGGAGAGGGATCTAATAGCTAGAAGAGGAATCAAATAGCTAGGAGATGGATCATATAGCTTTAAGAGAGGAAAGATGAAGAATGAAAAAAATCAGTTTGGATAAGTAAGTTCGAGGTTACGAACTAGCAGATGAAAGAGTAATATTATTTTAGCAGAGAACTACTTTCAGATCAGACCTGGGCATTTCTAACTTTATCGAAAAGAACGAACACAATTTTTAAAGAATCGACAAGTATAATATTTAAGTAGTGCATGAATAGTTTCAATAAACAATTAAGATTGGACTCTGTATACTTAGGAAAACGGTTAGAATTTTAAAACAGCGCAATTTTAATATCAGATATATTAGAATTTTATAGAAAAGTGAATATATTTTAATGATAAATAAAGGAAAAGATATTCATGTTAACCCTTATTGCCCTTCTCTACTTCAACTGAGTAGGATCTATATAGCCAGTTGTATCTAGTGCTCAGCAAAGAACTGCACAATAAACGGGAAACTTTAAAGTTTAATAATCTTGAGACACTAATTTATTTTACCTCCAATACTCAAAATAACAATAAATATTTGAAGAAACATGAAAAACTTACTGAGTGGACACTTTCTGATCTTGATAATCCGGTTCTTCTTCCTAAAACCGACTCACTCCGTCCTAAACCTAGAATTTAAATATTGTATATTTAATAGATCAAGTTACCTTTTATTTAAACATTGCAGGCACAATCCAGATATTTTGTCAAGGTAAAGGACAAGGTCTCTGCTAAGACTAAGATTAAAGGTAAAGTACAAGGTGAAGGTTACGGCCCAGGCAAACGCAAATGTCAAGGCCTTGGTTAAGACCATGGTAAAGCACAAAGTCTATGCTAAAACCAAGCTAAAGGTAAAAACCAAGGTAGTGGCAATGGTCAAAATCCAGGTAAAAGCCAAGGTTTAATGTCAAAGTTGAAATTCCTTTATATTACCTGAATCCGACCTTGGTCCTTCTACATTAGGCACATGCCTTACCACCCTCCCTTCACCTTCATCGTATACATACGCCTGATGTAAAAAATACTTTGAAAGTAAGTTTTATTCCCCCCTCTCCCTCCCTCCCCCTCTAGAATATTTAACATTTTCTAATCCTAATATCTTTGCCACCTGATGGTGTCCGCAAATCTTTGACATTTCAAACTTCGATTATGTAATCTTAGTTTGAAATATAGGGATTAGAAATTTATAGTTTTTGGCAAAGACTCAATTCCTTTCTTTGATTGAAGTCTTTCGTGGAGATTTTTGAGTTCAGTAACAGGTTTATGCAGTATTTATTATAGGGTGGGGAACGGGGGTAAATCTTTAAAGAAATTGAGTCTTTGCCACAAACCCTGCTTTTCTTAATCCTATATCTTTGGATTCCAATGTCGTAGACCTTTGATATTTCCAACTATGAATTCTGTTAGATCAAATAATATAAGTTTGAAATATCAAAGATTTACGACATTGGGTTCCAAAGATATAGGAATTATAAAATCAGAGTTTGTGGCAAAGACTCAATTCCTTTGTGTGATTCAAGAGTAAAACAGTGTGTGTCCTTTAATTTCTACAGGTTAAATGCCCCTGCTCATTTGAGCATACTTTTGTAACGTTGTGTTGAAAGATAAAAAGAATTATATACCTGATTGTCGATAAAGAGCTTGTCATATCTTATAGAACATTTTTTGTTTGGAGCCCTCATTTTTATCTTTATAACCAAAAATGACAAAAAAAAATAGAATTGCCCTTGACACTTTTTAGAAAATGTTACGCTAGTATTTTGGAGGGAAATAGTGTTAAATATATTTTCAGGATTTTTATAATTAACTGATTGTGAGAAATCCTTTAGAAGTTTTCATCCTAGTATAAGGTTTATTTAAATCTATAGCCAAGGGCCATGGTATTTATATGATTATTTTGATATTGATTAAATTTGGATTGGCTAGAGCATAAATATCGTTTACCAATTTAACTGAGCTCTTCTCTCTCAAAAATGACGTCAATCAAACCAGATATTCACAAGTAATCATTTCCAAAGAATTAGTATTATTTTCCTTCAGTTACTTTTGTATGCACGTTTTTGAACGTTAAATATGATATTACTTTAGTCTGAAGCCTAGTGAGCAGTAGTTGATCTATTTGAAGAATATGTTAAACCACTTCTTTGTAATCAGTAAAATTAGGTTTAAATTTGAAACATTGTGTTTTAAAAAAATTGGGAATCGGGTTCAGACTTCGGGATCGTCTTTGTTAAAAATTAGCATTATACCTGACATTACACAGTAACGTCTGTTAGAGTATGATTCATATGCATAAACGGTACAAAAAACTGTTATATATTCTGAAAATTGGAGAAAAAAATTCACAAAAAGACAGATATTTATGTCTTCGGGATTTAAACCCTTCATATCGAACAAAAAAAATGATGTATTAAAGGGACTGTAAAGGAAAAATTAAAGGGGGTATAGGGTGAAACCTGACAATCTAAGGAGTTGATTGAGACATATAAGACATCTATCTGATGTTCCTGTCTCGTGGAATTGACATAAAACTGTGTCAAAGTTATACCAAAAATACTCTTTCATTTTTCCTTTACAGTCCCTTTATTAATTCTACCACTCTCACCACCGGAGGGCATGAATTAAAATTACAAGGGTTAAACACTCATTCATTTTTGGCTCCTTTCTCATGTATTTCTGCAGCTCTTGCCTGTAAATAACCGGTTTTTAGTCTTGATTTAACAATGGAAAAATAGTTTTTTCATGCAGAGATTTTCTAATTATTTTTATAGTTCGATTTCTATTTCTAGTTCTAGTTCTAGTTCTAGTTCTAATTCTAGTTCTAGTTCTAGTTCTAGTTCTAGTTCTAATTATACTAGTTCTAATTTCAAAATTTTAAACTCTATGTAAAAAGACAAAATTTGTATTAAATATTTTTAAAAACTTGGGTTCCTGTGTTCTCTTGTTTTTCTTGAGAGGTCTTCCGAAACATAAACATTGGTAGATTTCAACAGTTTGGACTGGTTTCAAGCTTTGTTAGTTAACAATGTGTAAACAAAATAGTAAACAAAATAGTAAACAAAATAGTAAACATATATAGAAACAATATGTAAACAAAATAGTAAACAAAATAGTAAACATATATAGAAACAATATGTAAACAAAATAGTAAACAAAATAGTAAACATATATAGAAACAATATGTAAACAAAATAGTAAACAAAATAGTATAGAAACAATATGTAAACAAAATAGTAAACTTTTAGATATAGGTAACAAAATGTAACCAAATAGCAAATCAAAAGTTAATAAATAGAAAACAAAAAGACAATAAAAAGTTAATAAAAGTAATAAATAAATATAAATAAAAAGCGAAAAGATTAACTGAATATGTTGATTAAAATGTAAACAAAACCAAACAGAGTTCAAACATATATCTTCTTACTTCAAATGGTGCCTTGTAATTAAAAGATATGGTAAAATTGGTCTAAAAAACATTTTGAAGTTGGAAAAAGTTTCAAGGCTAATGTAGTAAAATATGTAAATATTAACAACACTCCTTGCTCAAAATCTCTTCTCGGTCCTACAAAATATTAGATTTTACAAGGATACAAGGATAAAAGGATAAAAGGATAAAAGGATACAAGGATACAAGTTACAAGGATACAAGGATACAAGGATACAAGGATACAAGGATATAAATACCTTGAAATGAAGGAAAGATACTAGAATAGGTCTGCAACCTCTGATTTCTGGTCCTGTACTTAGCCTCGTAACCTGATAAAAGGTACAAAAAAATAATAAATACAAAATTTATAATAAGAGTTTTAGAAAATTTGATTTCATCAATAACTAATATTAAAATTGATTTTGAATTTTGATACTCTATACATAATTTAATTGAAAACATTGAATTGAAGTTATAAAAAAAAGTATTCAACTTTTTTGTTTCAAAGAAAGGATGGATTGGTTCAATCATTCAAAAACAATGGAACACTAAGAATACTTTATTAAACAATGTTTATACTCTCCTATTGACAGAAATGTTGATAAAGATTTGAATTATTAATTGATCGACGTAAAGTACAATTTTTATTTTTGGTAGATTTGATCACCAGAGAGTAATCAATTTTTATATATCAACTAAACTATTGATTCACTTTTCAAACCGTTTTTTTGATTCTTTCCCATAGGAAAAAATGAGAATGCTTTAAGTTCTGAGGGGGAGGGGGGATTACGTCAGGGGGGGGAAGTACTTTTTCCATTAAGCAGTTCTGAAAGTGCCAATCACGTAACTTTTTTCTATTATACTAAATGTATGTAATTATTGACGAATATAGATATAAAATTACTTTATACTTTCCAGGGTGTACTTTGCTGTGGTTAGAATGCAGGGATATAATGGATAATTCAGGGGGGGAATAAGTGTTCCCTGCAGGTTTGATTTTTTTGTGGTTACAAATAATATAAATATTATAGCATTATTTTTAAAAATCTAATATTTTTAAAGTTAAAAATAATTATCATCACAATATACAATATACTTATGTTTTTTAATTTTAACACTATACTGAACTTTTTGTTTTAACTTAAACTTTTAAAGATTTCCTATTGTTTTACAATGTATTTACTTTAGCAAGGGGAATATCTCTAGAAATACTGAGGTTAAACCTGAACAGGTCTTGAATCCTGAAATAATAAAAATATTAAGGATTTTTTCAGAATAGGGAACAAGATAGCAATTGGCGACATAAGGAAAACAGTCAATAGAGTCAAAATATAGGTTCTAAATTCAAATATTTGGTAAAATTAAAGTTTCCATTTTTAAAGAATTTATTAGTATAAAACTTAGAAACAATAATCTAAAGATTAAGTTAATGTATTTACTTAAAATTTTATTGTTCCTTTTTAAAGCTATAAAGGGAATGACCGGCAATGTATGGTAGTAAACTGAGAATGTAGTATTGTGTAGAAATTATTTAGGAATTAAAAAATTTATTTAATAACGACTACAAAAAAAGCAGTGAAAATTCTACAGTAAACAATTTAGATTATTTAGGAACAGGTTGAGCAAAAAAATAATTGTAATTAGCATCGAAAATAAGTAATCTTATTCAGTTATTGATTTTGTAATGTCTCGCTGTTCACAAACTATTTCTGTAGGTTTCTTGTATTTTTTGTTGAAAAAACGACATTTTGAAGATTTGAAGAAATAGGCGAACAAATTCATAAAGAATAAGAAATTCAATATAATGATGAAAAATAAATAATTGATTCTAACATCGATTTATTGAGAAAATTTCAATTGAGAGATATGTTCTTAATAATCTAATTAGTTTACTTTAGAATTGTTTTTTACATTTTTTGTCGTCACTATTTAATAATTAAAAAAAAATTGATTCTCAGAACATAATTTCACCCAAATGGATGATTTTGAACGTCGACTTTGCTCTCAAACTCGTTAATTATACATCGGTAAAACGTTTTATATGTCTCAAATGAATCCTGAAAACTTCTCCACAAAACTAAATTCTCAGTTCAACTACCATACCTTGCCGGTCGCTCCTTTTAAAAATGCAAGAGAAATCAAGAATTCTGAGAATTTGTATACCGTTGTAAATCATTCACGGCACTAATAATTTCAAGATTTTAAAAATGAATCGAATAAACCTAGGAAGAAGAGAAGAGGGAAGTTCTGGTGTGTAATCTGGATTCAACCCATAGAACAACAAATTGTTCTTTCTACAAAAATAAAATAAAAAACAGCAATTTTATTTTTGTTTAAATGTCAATTAAATAATATTAACTTACATAGACTTGTCTACATCATGCATCTTTTCATTAAGGTCGTCGTAAACTCCTGAACAACTCATAAATAGAATTTAAAGAATTTGAGCCAGGTCTAAACCTGGCTGATCTCCCCACCATCGGATCAAATTAAAACTACTGATTAAAATCGTTTCTTAAATTTCAACTTTTAATCAGGTGGTTCAAATTTGAACCGCGGCAGTAGGAAGTTTAGCGACGCAGTTCAGGGTTCGAAAGGGAAGGGTGCAGTGTATTAAAAGAATGTTGATACCGATAAATTTTAGTCTTAGGTGCCAGGACAAATTGTTTGAAATTGCAAAGACGATGCAGGGTTAAGGCTAGCTGGGACAAGATCAGAAGAATTTTATGTCACCAATTACGAAAAAAAAAATTATTTCTAAATTAAAAATTTTCTTCTTCTTTACCTGATATAGAATCCATCTTTAACCTTATTGCTTTCACCTCAGACTCAAATCTACACATATCAAATAGTTTCGACCCAACCATTTGCAAAGGAATTGAGTCTTTGCCACAACCTCAAATTTTCTAATCCCTACATCTTATAAACCTGATGGTGTATACCTTTGATATTTCAAACTTAGAATATTTGAGTCATAGCTTGAAATTTCTAAGGTCTACGACATATATTGGAAAATTAAAGTTTGTGGTAAAGACTCAATTCCTTTATTCACACATTGTTTTCTTTCGTATTATTTAGTTGATATAGTCGCACAGTCATAAAAAGGAATAGTCAAATACTTGTAATCAAAAACTTGTAAATTCCATGACATTCTTTTTTCTAAAATAAATTAAAATAAATAAACAACTTCAAAACTAATCCTCTCTTTAAAAAGTGTGAAGTTTATAAATTAATAAACTTAATCTTAAACCCGTTTCTTGCCAAAAAATCTTAAATTCACTGAAAGAAAATAATTAACGACTCAATTTTTGATTTACTTATACATATATCTTTATACAACCAGAATGCTACAACTTAAGCTATTTTAATCTTTGGCAATTAGCAGTGTAGACCAATAGTAGAAATATCTAAGATTTGCCGTCATGTTGCAAAGATATAATGATTAAATTGAAGAGATGAATATATAATATTAAAAAATTATGGCATTATTAAATATCTAGTATTTACCCTGCCATTGAGGATATTGTAAGTTTAAGCTGATCAATTTCTTGTTTATGAACTAGAACTTCCTTCTCCAATCCATCCACCTTGTCTTCGTACTCTTTAACCTGAAGATTAAAGGATATCAGAATTTATGGACAAAAAACAGTCAGTTAATTTAGCTATGGTTGGTTCAACTACTCTTCTCATGACCCCCAGATAGATTAAAATCAGAGAGCTGATTCAATTTGATCTTGGTCGCGCAGGCACTGATATTTAGACAATTATACAAGTTATTTAATCAGTTTTTAAACAGCCTCGACTGTAAAGTGTCGCAACGCCTTAGCTTTTGATTTTACCCAAGGAGAATAGAATAGAAGGAGGGGGCGATAGGGTTTCCGTACACTGTGCTGTGACGTTTTTGGACTGCCGAAGAACTAGTTTTTGCGTAACAACAATAACAAAGGCAGCCGATCTAATGTAAACAAACATGAGTTAGTATAAGATGAATCTTCATCTAACGCCAGAAATGCCAGATGTTTGTTTATCATTTGTGTTATTGTTTACAATCTTTATTATTGTTGTTACGCAAAAACTAGTTCTTCGGCAGTCCAAAAACGTCACAGCAAAGTGTATGGAAACCTTATCGCCCCCTCCTTCTATTCAATTCTCCTTGGTTTTACACTAACAATTTACTTACACAGGTTACACTAACCATTACTACCTAGTTTAAATAATTCCTGCTTTTAATGAATACCCTACTACCGAATAATGCTTAGAACGTAAAAAGAATAAGACATTAAAAACGATATCAAGAAAGATGTTTATATCGAGAAAAATGTACATGTTGTACAAAATGTAAATATTTTACGAAATTCCTTCTTTGCCAAATCTTATATTGTGCAATATTCAAATTATACATAAATACATATAACATAAACTACCGTATTGAACATGCAATGTGATCGGTATAATAAAAGATTATTTTAGTAAACTTTAGTGAAAACCTTGTTTAATGTATATCTTATTTTAGGACACATCTAAAAAAAGGAATATCAAAACCTTTTTCGTTGTTGCATTTAATGATGTTGCAGTGCACATAATCCACATTAAATCATATTGAAAGTATTAAGTTATAAAGACATCCTAAATGTAACCTGTATTCAAACATGTTTTTTGGACTTGAACAAAATATATATTTTAAATCGAACTTTGGGCATTCTTCCATATCGGAAATTAGTCTTCCATTATTTTCTATTGAAAAGAACGCCTGATCAATATTATTGGGGAACTGTAAATAAAATTGTTAATAGGAAGCTATATATCTGTTTTCTGTCTTCTATATGGAGGGGATGAAAACAAATTTACACATAACACATTTTTTTTACGGTTTTCTTGCAAAATTTTTTTATTTTCAAAAATCTGTTTATTTCTAATAATGTTTATATTTACTGAAATCTGTTTGAAAAATCTGAAATGAATGTTTTAAATAATAATTATGACAATATTTTAAAAGACCCGAAAACGAAAAATTGTGCTTTTTTTGTATTCTGCCTCCTGAGGGGAGGAAGGCCAACCACATCAATCTCTAGTCCGAACCACATTCTCCTCATTTTCTCGTCCGAACCACCTCGAAATTCTCGTCCTTTCAATATTATTTTTTTTTAAGTGTCCGATCCTTGAAAATAAATACATTTTTTAAAAATATGGCGACGTTAGGGCATAAAACATGACTAGAATAAAGTTTTCCAAGGATTTTGAAATGTTGGAATCTTCAAATCCACGAGAATGATGTCAAACATTATTTAGGTTAAAAATTGAATCTCTTCTGCCTCCAAAATGGATAACTTTCACAAATAAAAATTTATACCAAAGAATTCGCGTGAACATGGTCTTTAATCTTTCCATTTCAACCCATACAAAATAATCATTGATTTCTGATTTATTTACAAATAAGGTAGATTTGTTGTACCCACTAAGAGATCACTACTGCCTGCCGCATGCTTAAAATTATAGAAAAAATAATGTTCAATTTATATTATTTAAATCATTTGCTACAATTAATTGGTCACAACCCTATGAATTCAAACAGTATTTAATCATATAAAAATTTTAAGTCATATCTCTAACCCAAATCCAGCTGGAATATTGCAAAAAATTGTTTACATCGAGTTTGAGAATGTTTTGCGGCATTTTCCGCGAAAGAAAGGGCTCTTGATACAGACGCTTTTTTGTAGAACATCGTTTAAATGGAGTATTTTCATTTTTACACAAATCTAAAATTTAACTGGCCAAATTTTATATTTCATCTATGCCCTAACGTCGCCATATTTTTAAAAATGTATTTATTTTCAAGGATAGGACACTTAAAAAAAATAATATTGAAAGGACGAGGATTTCTAGGTGGTTTGGACGAGAAAATGAGGAGAATGTGGTTCGGACTAAATATTGATGTGGTTGGCCTTCCTCCCCTTGCCTCCTTATTAACAAAGGCCATATTATGGTAAGCACTGAGCAGTATCTAATTGAGGTAAAGCCTCAGTTAAAACATATCTAGCGCCAGAGAATAAATAGAATTAATAAAAACACATAAATAGTCAAAAAAAATTTAAGATTAGCTTTGTATTGGACAGTTTCAAAATAAACATTGCCGGCCAGCGTAGGTATTTACTAAATGCATATCATGAGAAGCATGAAATTGCTTAACGGGAATGAAGACGGTAATTTGTAATGCTACTATAGTATATGAATAAAAATCAATAAAGCAATGCACTGAGTTTCTCAAATATTCAACGAGTCGGTTTTTCTTACAATATATTTATATACAAAAGATACAAACTCTAAATCGAACGATACCAATACAAACTAAATATTATGAATCTAATCAGTTCTATAAAACAGGAGACATTTTACATTTTCATCTTCATCGTCTCACTTATACAAATTAAATATTGTTAATCAAATCATTTTCATCTAGTAGGGGAATTCTTCAAGGGAACCTTAATTCAAGGGAGCTGAATCACAACTGTCTGTCCCCCTTCGATTTCGCTCCATCCTAGGATCGCATTTAACCCTAGCTACCACGGGGTTGTTCCGCCCCCTCCCCAACGCTTGGGTCTTCAAGATAACGGAAAATTCGGCGTCGCTTGGGTTATTTATAGAATCCAAATGCAAACTCAAATAAATCCGTTAGGATTCAAAATAGGATTCTAAAGTCCAACCGTAGGGTTAAAGATGGGGGGGGGGGGAAAGGGGGCATGATTCCCCTTGGTAGCTATGATCTCAGCGATCCAAAACATCCTTGAATTGCTGATCGTAAAAGATCAACAAAACTCGCCCACTGTTACACTACGTTTTCCTCCATTTCAAGAGTAGCAACTCCGATTCTAAATCATAATTTAATATCCTTTAAATATTCACGGGGGGGGGGACTGGTAGTTAACTACCCGGCCAAATATCCAGCATGTGTGTACAATCAAGACGATTTACTGATAAAGGATGTACGGAACAGACATCAAATATGCAGTACGCTTCCGCAGTAAAAAAGTGAAGTACATGGATTGTACAGTTAGTAAAGGATCAGCACTCTAAATACTACAACCTTGTGGTTAAACCTTAATCTGAGAAATATATATATAAAGATATCCTCGTGATTTTATGTTCAAACGTGTTGAATTCTGACAATATGTCTTTTACAGAGAAACCAAAACTGAAAATAATCAATGTTTTAGATAAAATGTCGACTGAAAGCATGACGAGTCAAGCAAGGTCTAGAGTCTGGGAATATTGTGATTCATCATCAATCCACGGTCTTAGTTATCTTACACCAAAGAGGTTCGATTTCCCTTTAATAGATATACCATAGTAGATATAAACTATACAAGTTGATAAGAGCAAACTTTGAAAGCTGGACTAGACTCGCCAAAACTTTTAAGATTAGTTGGATATATTTTAGTAACTAGTTGATTCACAGAACATCATTCTAGTATCAAAGGTTTTGTTATTTAAATTAGGCTGAAAGGGAGTGTTCGCGAAAAATAAAAGGGCGTATAGGCTTAATGCGACAAAAAAGCGCTTTTGATCGCTACTAATCTTACTTCTATCTGTTGCGTCTATAAGGAGAAAATTGTTAAAAACGATTAATACGGAAGAACGCAGTGTCCATACAAATTCATGAAAGATGCAACATACGACTTAGACCGTTAAAAAATCTATTTAATTTCAAACAAATCATTCAGATATTACAACCTACAGTCATCGATTATCTTTCGCCACATTTGTATATAATTTGTTTATATTTTTCATAATATGTTTTGATTTTATTTTTTGAAATAATATTTAGCTTACAACTTGTTTTCGAACATTCCTGGAAAATATTAAAATGTCGTCTTTATTACCAAATATCTTCGAAACAGGAATAAATGTTTTTATAAGTAACTCTCAGATCATAACAATTAAAACATATTATGAAAAATAAACTATATACAAATGTGGCGAAAGATAATCGATGACTATAGGTTGTAATATCTAAATGATTTGTTTGAAATTAAATAGATTTTTTTACGTTCTATGTCGTACTCGTATGTTGCATCTCTCTGAATTTGTATGGACACTACGTTCTTCGGTATTAGCCGTTTTTAACAATTTTCTCCTTATAGACGCAACAGATAGAAGTAAGATTAGTAGCGATCAAAAGCGCTTTTTTATCGCATTAAGCCTGTACCCCCTTTCATTTTTCGTGAAAACTCCCTTTAAGTATAGATTATGAAGTATACTGTCTCTAGCTTAGTATGATTTCAGAAGTATACTGACTTCCTAAATATGTTTATGATTCGGTATAATGACTCCCTTGATATGTTTCTAGAAGCTTACTGACTCCCTTGGTATGTTTCTAAAAGTGTACTGACTCCCTTGGTATGTTAAAAGAGGTGTACTGACTCCCTTGGTATGTTAAAAGAAGTGTATGACTCCCTTGGTATGTTTCTAAAAGTGTACTGACTCCCTTGGTATGTTAAAAGAGGTATACTGACTCCCTTGGTATGTTAAAAGAAGTGTACTGACTCCCTTGGTATGTTAAAAGAAGTGTACTGACTCCCTTGGTATGTTAAAAGAAGTGTACTGACATCCTTGGTATGATTTTAGAGATGTACTGACTCCCTTGGTATATTTCTAGAAGTTTACTGACTCTCTTGGTATGTTAAAAGAGGTGTACTGTCTCCCTTGGTATGTTTCTAGAAGTGTACTGACATCCTTGGTATGATTTTAGAGAATTAAGTGTACTGACTCCCTTGGTATGTTTCTAGAAGTGTACTGACATCCTTGGTATGATTTTAGAGAATTAAGTGTACTGACTCCCTTGGTATGTTTTTAAAAGTGTACTGACTTGCTTAGTTTTTTTAGAAGTGCACTGACTCATTTAGTTTGTTTTTAGAAGTATACTGATTTACATAGTTTGCTTTAGAAGTGCACTGACTCATTTAGTTTGTTATTAGAAGTATACTGATTTACATAGTTTGCTTTAGAAGTGCATTGACTCGCTCAGTTTGGTTCATCCTAATTCTTCTTGGATTTGGAGCTGCTTATTACATTCTAAGTGGTATGAATTAAATGTTTACAACATATTTAGAATTTATATGATCATCTCCGATTTAACAAAAGTATTGATTACTAGCTGAAGTGCCCGGCGTTGCCCGTGGAATCTTAAAAACACTTTAAAAAGTTTAAAATTTTGAAGAAAAAAATAATATTTCTTTTGCTCAATTTGGTCCAACCGTTTGGCCAGCTATAGCTAACATATAAATATATAAACAAATATACCAATATATATATGAGCGAACAGTTTTATTATATAGATAAGATAATTTTTCAGTATTTGCCAAAGAATGGTATGGGGACCCTATAGTTATAGAGAGTAATACATTGCTAACCGATGATGTTCCTCTTCCTGCTGTGATTCTGTGCCCTCCAAATACTAATACAAAGGTCAAATCTTCATACTTTTCAAAATTAGACATTTCGCCATTTGAACAACAATAGCTTTTCAATCCCAACATCTTTTCCATCTGGTGGGGTAAATCATTGACATTTACACCATTCAGGTTTATAATAGCACTGGTGTAAAACATTAAGCTTAATAATTATGAAGTGCTAAAAAATAGATTTTGTAACTAAGTTCCCTTCAATTATTATTGGAATGTCTTTAATTTGAAGGCTGTAAAATAAAGTTACAAATTCCAAAATTGTGTTCCATGTGATTTCGGAATTCCGCAGTAGAATTCTTGGGACAGAGTATTTAGGAGATTGAATCAGTTTAACAAAAAAATAATGACTTTTTATAAAATAATAATTTGCATGCCAAAAGTACAGTTTATTGTAAGATGGAAGATAATCCAATATGATATTGGAAATTCTATAGATTGCCACATGCTTGATTTATTGATTGATTTATTCTAATTAATTGATTTATTGATTGATTCATTCTGATTAATTGATTTATTGATTGATTTGTACAGTTTGATGCAGCTCTTGAATATGTAGAGTTTACCTCGGATGAATGGTCTAAAGAGAAAGCCAGGGACTAGATTTTATAGCGAGACATAGTTGAACCGTATAGATATGGTTAAACCACTTTTCTTCAGATTAAACCTGCGCCCAACAAGACGAATGGTTCAACTTTGTCTAAGCGGTTCAAATACCAATTACTATTTATTAAATCTGGTGGCAGGATAGAGAACCAAATAGTGACTGATATGTTTACAACTGCAACCCAGTTTGCAGACACTATAACAGACAAAATGAAATTAACAGCAGACATTCTTCAAAAAGTTTACAGGTTGGAAATAAATTTGTTTTAGCTTGAAAGTCTAAGCCTACTGTGTAAGAAGAACCGGCCTCTAACATTTTGTTCTATATACAAAATTCACCGAAAGCATTCCGGCATGACGACCATTTTGAACGACATTACAAATAAAATGTTAGGAATGTCACAAACTCAAATTTTCTAATCCTTATATCTTAGCAACTTGATGGTGCAAACCTTTGATATTTCAAACTTAGATTATTTGATCTACCAGAATTCATAGTTTGAAATATCTAAGGTCTATGGCATTGGGTTGCAAGGATATAGGAATTAGAAAATTTGAGTTTGTGGCAAAGACTCAAATCCTTTGTAAAATATCCATTATATATTCTGTTTTTAAATTCTAAATATATTTAAGTTTAGGTGTTAAATTCACATTGTTTTAGAAATGAGTTCCAGTTGCCACTGCCAAATATCAATATGTTTCCTACATCTCGGTTTGAGCCGAACAAGTTCTACCTCAGAAATGAAGGTCAGCATAAGATCTTATTTTATAAGACAAACTTATTGTTAAATGTCTAAATGGTAATATCTAGGAATCTTGATGTATTCTAACGACAACGCACTTTCCCAACTAACCTGCTGGTATCGACCTGGCACCAAATGGGTCTTTAGTAGGGTTTGTTTATTCAGTAATAATACTTCATCATTCTTTTCAAATCAGAATTTTTGTTTTAGAAATTTACAATGCTTTTGTTTGCTGATAATTCGTATAGTTTGTAATTCTCGGATCAGAGATAGTAAGGGTAAAACTTTTGTGTCTTAAATCATGTGAATGTGAGATGAAATTTTCTGTTGATGAAACCACACAGGATACCTTGACAGTAAAGGTCAACTTATGAAGTTAAATCTCAATTTAAGAGATTATCCCTGAATATTGAGCCCATTTACTGGTCAAATAAGGGTTAACACAAACAAAAGTTGTACCCCTGGCTTTTATTTAAAAAGTTCAAACTCAAACATAATCTAATTCTATCTTAGGATTCCACTCAGTACACAGGAGTACAAGATACTGGTTCAGATTTTTCTGGGATATCTGCTCGATACTTTTTATCCAACTCATCATTCAAGGATCTTATTTTATAATCTATCAAAAAATCTGTTTTTATATAATGAAGTTTAATGTTATTTAAAAACCTGTATTTAGACATATCCTTTTACTTCAACCTTGACTCTGAATGGATCAGTTGGGCTTTGGGAAGATGCACTTGTAACTTCTAACTCTGGTTTAAACTGTGAACCAGAAAAGGTAATCAGGGGCGTAAATAAGGGTTCTGTAGGGGGGATAAATTTTTTTAATGTGGCGCGTTTCTTTTTTAACCCCCCCTATGAAAATATCATGATGTGTATCAAATTATTGGTTTTAGTTGGGTTTGATTTGCATTTTTCACTCATTTCTGGCATTTACAAACTCCATCAAATAAAGGCCTCATTTACCTTGTTTTATACCCGTCATTATAGTCATTCGTTTTACATTAACTACAAAGATCTGTAAAAAAACTGAATTAAGTTACGTAAAAAATAGTTTTACTCTAAGAGGAAAAACATGTAACTTTTTAAAATCTTTAGAAAAGCTACTCTGCTAAACTTTGAAAAATTATTGTATTTGTTTATATTCTAATTTTAATTTCTCAAATTTTCTTGTCGTCAATGTACTAGGTATATATGTTAATTTCACTAAATTAAAAGGGAAATATCTTACTTTTTAAAATTTAATTCTTAATAATCTTGATATTTTAACATTTTATTCCGGAAGAGCTATATACTTAATTTGACATATAGTGCAAGTACGCTAATGCATTGAAAAAACTCGATTTTTGGGTAAAATTTATCTATGTTACTTTTTTATGTTGATTGAGTAAGATTATCTGCGCGAAGCGCCAACATTTTTTTTACATTTTCCTTTTAATGGTAATAATGGACATAGAAAATGGAGATCAAGTTACTAAACCGGGATGTTTGTGTCCCAAAGATCCTAGGGGGGTATTTACCCCTAAGATTCTAAGGGGAGGGTAATTACCCCAAGGATTCTAGGGGGGGTAAGTACCCCCAATAACCCCCCTTATTTACGCCACTGCAGGTAATGAAACTTATTGCATTTGATCTGCACAAATTTAAAATTTCTGCAACTTTTTGCAACCTGACATAAAAAAACTTGGAAGCTTCAAATTATGAGTTCTTTTGGATCAAGTAGTTTCAGTTCTCAAACCATTATGTTGAAAAGATATATGAATTAAAAATTTTAGCTTGAGTTACGTAGTTTGTAACTCTAGATAAATTGAGAATTTTATTTATATTAAACTAATTAAACAATCCCTGACAGGGCACCAACTCTACCCTTGTTCTTCACTGGATCACGAAGCCTGCCTTAACCTCCCCGATCCCTGAAACATGTGAATCCACAGATAATCCAGTTTTCTGTTTAATTCACAACATACTAGAGGGCTGTCAACCGGATATATCCAGTTGTGTGACGAGGCTTACAGAGTTTTGGAAAGAAAAATTTCTTAACCAGGAACCAGATTTAATTAATAGGATAAGTAGTTGAACTACGTAGACTAAATTAAACCACTTCTCTTCAACTTGATCTAACGTACAGCAAAAGAGAACTGGTTGATCACGCATTGTGCATGGATTAAATCTGCCTTGCTATTCATTAAATCTGGTCCCAGATGAAATATATGGAAATAGATGAGGATAACTTACCCCGATACTTGAACTTAAACATTTCCTACAATGAGACCAAGATAAGGTTTTCTTCAGATTCTATTCTGAAAACCAACTCATCTCAATCTTCTTTACTAGAAGCCTGGAAATTAAGGATAGTTTTTTTACATTTTAACATCTACAAAGAATGTTATCAACATTGATAAGCTCCAAATTTACCACTACAGGATATCCAAGAGGAATTGATTTAATCTGTAGGTTAATGCACAAGATAATTTTAAAATGATTAATCCTGGAATTCACAACAAAAAATGTTGACCTCAGAAGAGTTGTTTGAATGTGTGATTATTGTTTTGTATTAGTTATTAATAAGTTGAGTTAAAATACCACATTTAAAAAAAACATTTTTTTGATTTTACAGCAAGATTTTCTTGAAAATTTGAAACATACTATCAACGATAATCAGCCTGATATGGAACTGGAAGCCTATGATATATGAAGTTCAAATTATGCAAGGACTGCTTCGAGCTCTGACAGTCAATACTATGAAGGAGTTTGCTCTTATGCTAACCTATTTGAAGGAACGAGGAACACCCAGAGGAATATTGTACTCAAAAATAGAAAGATATGGTCAAGTCGAGAGAGTTTCTTTAAAGGAACATATTCTGAAAAAAACTAAGATAATTGCCTCAACCCTGCTGAACTCTATTTTGCCCCAGTATGAGAATGTGAGCCTGCCTGATTTAGTAGATATGTTGACTATTCAAACCAACACGTCACTTATGTTTCTAGAAAATGGAGAAAATATTTTGGTATTAACATTCTTTTTGTAACTAAAAATATCAGAACCTAAAAAAGGAATTGAGTCATTGTCACAGACTTAAATTTTCTAATCCTTTTATCTTTGCAACTTGATGTTGTAGACCTTTGATATTTCAAACTATCATTTCTGTCAGATTAAATAATAATAATGAATAAGTTTGAAAAATCATAGGTTTATACTTGTAAACTGCAAAGATATAGGAATTAGAAAATTTAATATTATGAAAAAAACTCAATTCCATTGTTTTTTTTCAGGAAAAAAGTAAGCTTATAGATTGGGGAAAACTGCAAACTGAACTGTTCGGAAGTCTGATCTCTAAATCTGTCCATCCTCCACATTTTACTAAAAACAAGCTGGGACAGTTTGCTGAAATCAATCCTGCCTTTATTCCCATCTGTATATCTGGCTTTGAATCTGTTGGTTTGAAGCACAAAGGGTTTAAGCACAAATTGTGCGAAGATTTTGACCCATTTGTGTTTAATGGTAAGCAGTGCTACAGGTTGGATACAAGTAAGGAAAAGTTTAAGTCTAGCTATCTAACCCTGCTGGTGGATTCAAGGACATTCGATCTCACAACATACAGTACAAAGATCAAACCAGAGTATTTTAGAGGTAACGTTGCATATTTACATCCTGACTTATCCTTTGGAAGAATATACCTGGATACTACTGAAAGTCTGGAAATTGATGAAGGTTTAACCTTGTTTGAGAACCTGCAAGATGGATCTGAGAGACCATTTTCAACACTGTATCTCAAGGTCAAAAGACCCATTAGATACACATACACTGAGAACTTTGAAAGTCTGTCAAGTAAACAAAGAAACTGTCTTCTACAAACTGAGGCAAAGAGGAACTACAGAAGAAAGTCTTGTATTTACGACTACATACTAACTGCTAAGGAACTCCAATGCAACTGTTCTAGGTGGTTCAGAGCGGATAAAAACACCAGAGCTTGTTCTGTAAAGGATCTCCCTTGCTTGGGAGACATGCCGGATTCATTTTTAGACCTTGTACAGCAGGAGATAGATCTTTATTCTCAGGCATTGGTTTCCTGCCAGGAGTCGTGTGAAAAGTTTTACGTAACTATTGAGAATGATCAGCAACATCCAGATAAATTTCCATTCACAAAACAGGAACTTTTTGATATTGCACGGGATTATACAGAATTCAAACTAAGGTGAAGTTTATTGTTTTAAATTTTGTCAATTTTGTACTGTAGACTTACTTTCCAGTGACCCTTTATTCAAATGATGTTTGGTATTTTACCAAAGGTCTTTTTCCAAGCGGCAATTTCCCAAGTGGCAACTTCCCCATGAAGGAAAAGCGGAAACTTCTCAAATGTACATTTTCCCAATTTCCTTGAATAATTTACTATATTTTCTTTAAAACAAGTAATTGCCACAGCGCTCGGCCCCCTTGCCCATCCTGGCCTCAGTGCTCGGCCCCCTAAACTGTCCTAGCCGCAGCACTCGGCCCCCTAGCCCATTCTAGCCGCAGCGCTCGGTCCCCTATTGTAGCCTGTGGCGCCTAAGACCTAACCTTAAACATTGTACTATATTTTCTTTAATTCAAGTAAATTCGGCCCCCTTGCCCATCCTAGCCTCAGAAAGCTTACCCTAACCGTAAATAATAATAAGGATCGTTCAATACATTTTCACCCTTTGAAGAATGGGTGTAGGCCGCCAACATGTTCTTTTGCCTTAACTAACTTGGAGAAACAGAATGATTTTTTTAAGTTGTCTATTTTCTAAAAAAAATAGAGAAATTTATTTTAAAATGTTATACGTAAATCTTCATTTAATACTTCCTTTATGGGGAAAATGCCATTTATCCTTCATGGGGAAGTTGCCACTTGGGAAATTGTCAGTTGGGAAGTTGCCGCTTGTGAAATTGCGCATTTGGGAAGTTTCCACTTGGGAAATTGCCCTTGGTAAAATGCCTTTTGGAAAGTACCTAACATCATTTAAATAGTATTGTGCCCTTTTTACAACGGTATCCTTAAAACCTTTGTCTGATCAAGATAAAATGACATTTTGATGTATTTACCTTTGAAAATTGGTTGATTTCAACTGTTTTTTCCCAATAAACTAGAGAAACAATAAAAGAAACTAGAAAAACGATATTATCCATTACTGATTAAATAAATGCACAAAGGATATCATTGTGGATCAGACAGCTTCTATATAAATTGATGGTCACTTAAGATTACAACAATGGTCTATTTAAGATATAAAACGAATGAGATGGCTGCTCGAAGTTTCTACAACATCACCCTTGATAACCGAGCAGACTATGATTCCACAACAGGACTACTTGAGAAATTAAACAGGACGTCCTCGCCTAGATGGAATGAAAAGACAAGTCTTAGTGTGATTGCTATCTTCTATGACAAGGAAGATACTGCTAAACTATTTGAAGTGAAGAGAATGAACACAAGGTAATAGTTGTGACCCAATATAATTTTGATTACAATGTTATGAGGGTTGTGAAAGGATGGTGGTGTGCCAACTCCCCATATGGTTAATCATTGAGCCACGGACAAGCCAAAAATACAATTTGCAAGATTTTTAAAATTTACCAAGTTATAGCGCCCAGACCACTAGTACTTGACACATTGTTTGACCCCCTAACTATAGCGCCTGGGGTGCTTCAGAAGACATAATAAGCCTAATCAACATTAGTCAAATATAGAGTCTTCAGGGTTTTTCAACTTAATCTAAAAAAATAAGTATACGGTGATAATCTATGATGGTACAGAAACAGATTCACGTTGAGTTAAAAATATTTCATGCAGGACCTACAAAGAAAATCAAGTTTTTCAAATCTCTCCTGAATCCATTTTGTACTTTTGAGCATTTTTCTCGACACACAACACAATTTAACAAATAAAGGTTTTAAACTGTTAATAATCTCAATATATGATTTATTTTATGATATTATAATACCAAAATAACAGTGTTATAAATAGTTATTAAACTTCCATAATCCAAATTACAGGACAGAAACTGATAAATTTACATTTTTAATTGAGTAAGATACAAAGACCCATAAAGTGAAATTCCGTGTGTTTTGTTTATTTCTGCATGGTGCCTTCTTATTGAAGCTTATGAAAACTTTATAACTAAATGTTATACTAGGCTTTTATGGTGCTTTGAGCCCATCGTCTATTTCAACTTTTAATGGTGGCTTTATCTGTGAGCATCTTCTCTTTGTACAGTATAAAAAAAAAAGTTTGCGGTTTTTATAATATGTTTTTGCGCATTTTCAAAATTTAAAAAAAAAATAAAAATCTTTTAAGCAAACATTTTTGAAATATTCATCCTTCACAAAACTTCCCTGGGGTCACGTGAGGTCCCACAAAAAATGTGGGCCCTATCGGTTCAGCCGTTTTGACGATTATTGGATACAAACAGACAGACAGACAAGCAAAGTATATAGATAGATGTAAAAGGTAGTGTTCAGAAATATCAAACAGAGGATAATGGATGAACCATAATTAAATTATGAAACGGTTAACAAACTATTTCTTCTATTGCATATTGAGAAACAGGTTTCGCAATGCATTTTGGGGTGTGTGGGCCTGGAAGCTAGGTTTATTCCAAATACTCATTACAAAACTACGGGGATAAATGAAATTTCTATTCATGATTTGATTATAGGTATCAGCCTCCTTTCTTTTTGTGAATACTTACTTTACAGGTTTACAGTAGTTGATCTGCTTTCAACTGTTGGAGGCACAATGGGGCTGTTCACAGGGTTCTCTATACTCTCAGGAGCAGAGATTTTATACTGGATATTCGGGACTATAGCCTCCCTGCTATGCTATAGGTATACTATACTGGATATTCGGGAATATATCCTCCCTGCTCTGTTACAGGTATACTACACTGGATATTAGGGAATATATCCTCCCTGCTCTGCTACAAGTATACTATACTGGATATTCGGTACTATAGCCTCCCTGCTCTGTTACAGGTATACAATACTGGATATTCGGGAATATATCCTCCCTGCTCTGGTATAGGTATCCTATACTGGATATTCGTGACTATAGGCTCCCTGCTGTGCTATAGGTATACTATACTGGATATTCGGGAATATATCCTCCCTGCTCTGGTATAGGTATCCTATACTGGATATTAGGGAATATATCCTCCCTGCTCTGTTACAGTTTTACTATACATACTGGATATTCGTGACTTTAGCCTCCCTGCTGTGCTATAGGTATACTATACTGGATATTAGGGAATATATCCTCCCTGCTCTGGTGTAGGTATCTGGTATACTACTGGGTATTAGGGAATATATCCTCCCTGCTCTGGTATAGGTATACTATACTGGATATTAGGGAATATATCCTCCCTGCTCTGGTATAGGTATACTATACTGGATATTAGGCAATATATCCTCCCTGCTCTGTTACAGGTATCTGGTATACTATACTGGATATTAGGGAATATATCCTCCCTGCTCTGTTACAGGTATACTATACTGGATATTAGGGAATATATCCTCCCTGCTCTGTTACAGGTATCTGGTGTACTATACTGGATATTAGGGAATATATCCTTCCTGCTCTGTTACAGGTATACTATACTGGATATTAGGGAATATATCCTCCCTGCTCTGTTACTAGGGCTGGGCGCGTTAACGGTGGAACGATCGTTCTTTCCCGAGAACGAACGGAACAATCAAGAACGATCCCATCGTTCCGAAAAAAAACGAACGCTTAGAACGCGTTCTTAAAAATATTGGAACGATTAGTAAAAGAACGGAACGGGAATTGCTTGAAAAGAACGGTTAAAATCGTTAACGCGTTCTTATTATCAAGAACTTGTTCTAAGTTGGAACGCATTTTAAATCAGGAATGTGTTCTAAATCATCTAGAAATAGTTAAAGATTTTTTATTTAATCACCCGGCCTGGATATTCGTGACTATAGCCTCCCTGCTCTGTTACAGGTATACTATACTGCATATTAGAGAACATTTCCTCCCTGCTCTGTTACGGGTATACTATACTGGATATTAGGGAATATATTCTCCCTGCTATGCTATATGTATACTATACTGGATATTAGGGAATATAGTCTTCCTGCTCTGTTACAGGTATACTATACTGGATATTAGGGAATATAGCCTCCCTGCTCTGTTACAGGTATCATATACTGGATATTAGGGAATATATCATCCCTGCTCTGCTACAGGTATCCTTTACTGGATATTAGGGAATATATCCTCCCTGCTCTGCTACAGGTATCCTATACTGGATATTAGGGAATATCCTCCCTGCTCTGCTACAGGTATCCTATACTGGATATTAGGGAATATAGCCTCCCTGCTCTGTTACAGGTATACTATACTGGATATTAGGGAATATATCCTCCTGCTCTGGTATAGGTATACTATACTGGATATTAGGAAATATATCCTCCCTGCTCTGTTACAGGTATCTGGTATACTATACTGGATATTAGGGAATATATCCTCCCTGCTCTGCTACAGGTATCCTATACTGGATATTAAGGAATATAGCCTCCCTGCTCTGTTACAGGTATCTGGTATACTATACTGGATATTAGGGAACATATCCTCCCTGCTCTGTTACAGGTATCTGGTATCCTATACTGGATATTAGGGAATATATCCTCCCTGCTCTGTTACAGTTTTACTATACATACTGGATATTCGTGACTATAGCCTTCCTGCTGTACTATAGGTATACTATACTGGATATTAGGGAATACATCCTCCCTGCTGTGCTATAGGTATACTATACTGGATATTCGGGACTATATCCTCCCTGCTCTGGTAGATAGATATATATTTATCATTAAAGTACATAATTTTACATAGATGTATTCTTTAAACTAACACTTTAATGACGGGATTTGCCAAGCCAACATTGGCCGTCTTTAATGGCAAACCCGGAGGTACAAGAAATAAAATAAACACTCGGGAAAATTTGGAAAAATGAAAATGGAAATTAAATAAATAACAATTTGATTAAATTTTGAAATTTTTCTAATATTAAAATCAAGCTTGATAAACTTTGTGAACTTTGAAAGTATAAAAATGAAATCACTTTTAAAATGTTAAATTCAAAAACACTTTTGAAAGCTTCTTCAGCTTTTTGAAAGGTTAGTATTAATTAAAATGTCGGTAAAAAAACCTATACAACTAAGATAAAATAAATGTGGAGGCATGTTCTTATCATACATTAAAATTAAATACCATTTTCAGGGTGTGCTCTATACAGAGACAGAAGAAGAGAAATAAATGAATAAAACTTGATTGAGCTGAAATATTATAATCAGATTTAATCATTTTTTTTTCTCAGAATCATTAGCAAGTATAAATTATTGACGTAAAGAAGGCTGACAAAAATATTAATGTAAAAATGGCTGAAATAAATATAACTATAAAGGAGGCTGACAATAAATGTAAAGAAGGCTGACATAAATATTAATGTAAAAATGGCTGAAATAAATATAACTATAAAGGAGGCTGACAATAAATGTAAAGAAGATTGAAATAAATATAAATATAAATATAAATGTAAAGAGGGCTGACAATCAATATAAATGTAAAGAAGGCTGACAATCAATATAAATATAATGAAGGCTGACAAAAAATATATAAATTTAAATATAAAGATGGCTGACAATAAATATAAATGTAAAGGAGGCTGACAATCAATATAAATATAAAGAAAACTGACAATCAATATAAGTATAAAGAAAACTGATAATAGATGTAAAAATAAAGAAAACTGCTGACAGATGTAAATGTAAAGAAAATTGATAATAAATGTAAATGAAAAGAAACCCTCAATAAATATCTCATGTTTTAACGCATTAAATTTGAAAAAAACAGATCTGGGGAATTTTTATTATAAAATGAAATTGGCAACGTAATTTTCCCATTATCAATGTTGAAAATGTTGAGCTTTTATCCTTCCAAACTAGAGTATATCAAAGTATTGAAATCCTAAACTAGAGTATATCAAAGTATTGAAATCCTAAACTAGAGTATATCAAAGTATTGAAATCCTAAACTAGAGTATATCAAAGTATTAAAATCCTGAACTAGAGTATATCAAAGTATTAACATCCTAAACAATTTCAAATGGAAAGTAATTTTGGATTCGTACTTGCCACTGTATAAAATACAGCAATGCTGTAAAACTTAATCACTGTGCCAGAGTGCAGAAAATGTCTGAAAAATGAAAAATGCTTTCTCCCCCACTCCCCTACTTTATCTAGAGATGGGGGCGTCAGCCTTTTTTTCCCTTTCGTTAGTTCATCGTTCGTTAACAACCCATTTCGTGCGTTTTTTCAATCGCTCAGAAAAAATTATTTAATTTGTTCTTGGAATTAACGTTCATTTTCCAATTATTTGGTTCGTTTTTCATTGCACAATCATTTAACAAAGTCCTTACCCGGGTAGAATCTTAGAGTCTGAAACCTAGTCTTAGACGCCGGGCCGACCTCCTCAGACCCT